AGAGTTCGCCCTAACCAGATGCTCTCAAACACGATTTACGAGGAAGCCGTTATGAGCTCTCCTCTTCACCGGCTGTAACTCCGGCGTGTTTCGTCTGACCTCCCTCCAATGATTGTCTCCTCGCCATCTCACCCTGCAATGACAATGCACACAGAACCGATCAACTCTGCTTACCGTCGGAGGACGACCGGCACGACGCCTCTGGACCCACCGGATCCGCCGAACCGGTTTCAACAACACACATACTCTCTCCATCTGCCTATGTGTTACCATCGCCGGGAAACCTCAACTCGCCCCCCATCTCACCTCTCGACTTCAGTAGCCCTCATTTCACCTCTCGATTTACAGTCCCAATCGCCATCACTGCCACCACCGTTCTCTACCCCAATCTATCGGAGCTTCTCTGCTGCTACTCCGTCCTTGGACCTAGGATCTCCACCGGTGAAGTCGGCTTATGTCGGCGTTAGGACCGGAGCGGTCCCCACCGGAAAATCTCCATCGCGATATAACTTGACCACCTTCCATCACCGTCTGCTTCCGCCGATGGCCTCTCCAGATCTTAACGGCACGAGATCTGGTAGGTTGAATAGCGATCGAAAGCTGCTAAAGCCATCGTCGGGATCCGTCTCTCGAACCCGGGCTCGAGACTCTATATCTTGCCGACAATATCGAAGCTTGATGAGCCCACCGTCCCTTTCCCCTCCGTGGTCTCAGGTCGAGTCCTCGGCCCCATCCAATTACCCTCTTGTCGTCAGAGATCTCTGTACCAGCTTTTGCAAGGCGGCTCGGAAGCTCAATCTCCGATTACCCTCTCCAACGGAGATCTGTTCTGATCCACAACCATACCTCCCTCCGGTACAGACCGACCTCTATCGTGGTTCGAGCAGTGAGGTAAATCCGATTAACCCTAAACTTGGGCTTAAACAGATTTAGTTGGGCTTGGCCCATTGGCCTTTTCGTAATTGGGCTAGGCCAATGTTAAGAAGAATTAAATTTGGATCAGGGTTCGATGAGCTGATACACATATTTATTAGCTTGGTTGCTTCTAATGTACTATCTATTGCATCTGGCAAGTTAATTTCTTCCCTATGGGAGAGATCCTTACCACTGTCTTTCTCTGGAGATAGACATGTCAAACTCTACTCCTTATTCTGGGAGAAACAGATACCTTCCAAGGTATATGTAACAGAATTTCCAGTCTTATTCCTCGCCGGCGAAGGGACAACGGGACAATGTGTTCCCATCGTTTTCATGATGATTTTAGCCCGGAGTTGTATTTGTTGTCCCGTAACGAACTTGCTTAAACTCGGTTACGGCTATATAAGTTCTTCCGTCAAAGAGAGACCTATCACAACCACTTCTTTGGAGTGTGTTCACAAAAGCTCAGCCTTTAAGGCAGCTATTGATGTTCTTTTGCCAATGATGGTAGAAGAATTGGATATCGATTTGTTTGCAATCGATTTTAAAGCCCTTTTTAAGAAGCTTCCGGTTTTTGTCTACGATTCAAACCGTCTAACCTATCTCTTGAAACTTATCTTGACGCATCCGGGATCTCCTTTGGATTCGTTGTCTTGTAGTCTCTTCTATGTGTTTATTGCTTTCAATTGTTGTACTTTGCAACTTTGTATGTTTACTAATTAAGTATCAATGAAGAAGAACTTGCTTGCAACAAAAAAAAAAGAATAGAGTTGTTTTTATAAGTAACCTATGTATTGAAAAAAATGAAAAAAGTGAAATTAAACTTAGAAACTATGCGTCACTTTGCATCTACTTGTTCCAATTCATATACACCTGTTATAGTATCAACCTTTTCACATTTTTTAGTTTATCATATCAAAGATATAGCGAGGAACAATATCTAGTCTTTATATATTAAGTAAAAGGAACCAAAGAGGTTTAGATCTGGTCTTTACTCATTTGCGAACTTGTTGGTTGTACAACTTTTGTTCTTTTCTTTATCCTTTTAATTATTTTCTTCTCTGTCTGTCACCAGTTTGAAGTAAAGCAATCACGAATCATCACATGGTTCTCAACTTCTGGCAACATTTTCGAAATTGATATAATATTCTGTTAGCTCACAAGAATCTCAATATCGTACATTATACCCTAACATCTTCGTCTATTGTTCATATTAATTGTTTTATTTAGCAGGAACTTGGACATATATGATTTCGTATCCTTCGAGGTCATATATTCGTAAAGGTATTTGACAAAAATTACTCGACATGTCAACTTGAACTCCATCTCCAATTAAATTCCTCTTGCGTGAAAACTACATTCCAATTAATTTCATGAATAATTTTTTTAACTATTACCTAACGTGTTTATATATATCCGGAATCACAAAATATTTTTATCTGTCAGATATAGAGAAATCATGAAAGAAACAGATATCATAAAACA